GCATTGCGGATCTTGAACATGCGCAGTATGGGGCTGGCGAGCAGTTTTCGCCACAGTTCGTCAAGCCCTGATAATGTGAGACAGTTCTCTTCTCGCAAATATCATGGTAGTATCATAAGACCCTTGGGCTGTATCTACATTGACAAGATTTTGCGCAAAAGTGTATGCTTTTGCGCAAAAACTTGCTGTCTGTCTACACTGGTGGGGAGTTCTTGTGCAAGAACACTGACGTTCTAATGTGTGAAATCAGTGCTTCTTGCGCAAGAACTATGATGTTCCCGTTCAGGAATAAGCCCTCTTGCGCAACTGTTCTTGCGCAAGTGGCCAGTGTAGACAGGCAACATGAATTGCTTGCTCAAGAAAGCCCAATGGCTAAAATGGCCATCAGAGCTTTCTTGTGCAAGAGAGCGTCTACACTGGCACAGATGCTTTTGCGCAAAAGCACATCTCTTGCGCAAAAGCACATGCCAGTGTTGACGCTCTCTTGCGCAAATACTTTAACGCAAAAACTCTTGCGTTAAAAGTATTTGTGCAAAATCTGGCCAATGTAGATGTAGCCTTGGTTTAATTGAAGTTACTCCTAATTTCCTGAGAGAGGAATGTGTTTCTGTGGTTTTCTTCTTCAAGGAGCTAAATAAAACGTTCCCTCTGTTTGGCCATATGTTTTTCTGAAGGTCTTATTAAAAACTGATTTCTTGTCATTGTATATGTTTTTTGAGTGATAAAGTGCATAGTATTGTCAGGGCAATTCTCTAGATATACCTAATCCTGGTTGGTATAAATAGTACTAGTGATGCTTACTTTTTAACTTTGAGTCAGTATTGTAACTCTTAATATTATGTAGTTTGACCACTAGGAGGAGAAAAATGGAGCAATGCCGAGTACTCTATGTAAGTACTTAAATATATAATTTTCTTGTTTAAAATGTGCATTAGACCATTTAGAAAATTCAAGACTACTGTTTGCCACAGAGTGGTTTCAGTATGTTCTTAAAATGAAAGTCATTTCCTCTTCTTCTGTAATACCAATTACTCATTTAAAAGAGTTTGGATTTTACAATGGATTTTGGATTTTACATCAGTGTCATTTCTTATTTCATTTGTTGATAAAAGAAAATGAGAATCCTTTATATTAGTTCTTTATTTTCACAAAGATGCCAGTTAACTACTTTGTACAATTAAATTGCAGTATTACATGGAATACAAAATGACTTATATTTTCCTCTTAAAGGAAAGTTGAATATAATATTGTCAGGGCTGTTCCCCACTGTGGTACTCAGAGTGCAGAAGGTGGGGGCCCACAAGAAAGCTTCAAAACTTTACATCTACCGGCACTGGTTACAAAAACATCCCCCCAGAATCATAAAACACAAATTTTGGGGAACTATTGCCACCATCAAGTGCTTTTTCCATAAAACCGGGGGTGAACACTTGAAATCACCCTCAGAGGTACCCCAAACTCTTTTGCCCCAAGGTCTGTCTGTGTGTATCTGCATGCCGCTGACTGAGGGGTCAGGTACCAGAGACTGCAGCTTGTTTTTCTCTTTTCTTTTTTTGCAAGCTCTTTCTGGCAGAGGCATGCAGATACACACAGACAGAACTTCCAGGACACAAGAATCAAATCATCACCTTAAAATAAGTGATTTTTAGTATAAAACAAAAGATAAATTTGATAAAACATTCTTGGTTGCTAAATGTTACAGAGCAACTAAGGAAAACAAATTAAAACAGAGAATACAAAAAAACTCTGGCACAATGATAAAGGGGGAGGGGAGGAATAGAATCACACAGAGCCATTCAAACTGAAAAATAAAGAAAAATTAACCAGAACACAACTGGATTCACATTTCCATTGTACTCACTTCTAATTTTCTCTTTGTTCAGTCCACTCCCATGCCCTGAATTTTGTGGGGGGCATGGTAGTCTTGCCTGGGTTTAAATCATTCTGTGGCTCTCAACTCCTGGTTTAACTCTCCCCCACAAAGAATGCAGGCAGGGAATCTATATCCAATTCAAATTTCAACCCTCAGCAGTGGTTCTCAAAATTTTTGGAATCATGCCCCCTTTTTGATTTTTGAGAACCTCACGCCCCTCCCTGCCCCCAAATAGCAGCAAAACGTGTTGAGCAAAAAAAAAAAAGGAACTGACCGGAGCAGCAAAATTTGATGGGGGGCAAGGGGGCTGGGTCGCCTTGTGCCCCCCCTGGAATTTCTTCATGCCCCCCCAGTTTGGGAACCCATGCATCTTGATTGGTTCTTCCCGCCTCTTGGCTGATACCTTTGCTAGGTATGTGAGTTAACCCCTTAGTCACTGGGTGCTAGTCAGCACTCCTGTTCATGACAAATATAAAAGCTATTCTAATCTTCATGTTATTACAAAGTACTGCAAATCACTAAATACTACTTCAGATTATTTTCAGCCTTTAAATTGGGTGAGAAATCTTCATTTAAGTTAATATTCACTGCATCAACATTGATTTATGGGGATGCCACCCCTGTTCAGTAGCCCTCTCTTCTGTTAGAGTTGGATTGTCATCAGAGATCATCAGAGAAGCTGGAAGTTATGTAAAGTCATTGTGCTTATGTATGGCTAGACTAGAGGTGGGCAAAAGGGCCTCCGCAGGCTGGATCCAGCCCACCAATCGAGTTGATCTGGCCTGAGGAGGCCCTACTGCTCCCCTGCATGAGTGCCCAGAGGGAACCTGGGAGGGAGGGCAAAGGTGCTCCCCCACCACCAGACCAATCATAGTCTGTGGTTGGGAAAGCAGGGAAGTATCCTGGCCCCGCCCCTTCTGGTGTGGCCTCGGGTCACTTAAAAAAATTAGGAGCCTATTGAATCCAGTCATTTCAATCAAACATGTACCTTTCTTGTAAATCATGGTACTTCACATTTAATGAGTGCTGTTCTTCCCAGATAATAAATATATATGACACTGAAATGTTTCCTTGTCTTTAAGTATTAATTCATCTTAGATTCAAATATCCATTAAGATCCATCCAGTATTTACTTTGTCCATTTAGATTAAGCCATTTTCTACACTATATATTCACTAAGATGTATTGCTTAGACTTTTATTGCCTCTGGATCACCTTTTTGCATATGCAATCTCTAGTCATTATTTTGCAAAACAGATCTAAATGGTTCCTTGCCATTGTATAATTTTGCTTTTCACTTCTTGTTTTTGAAAGACTATAATTCACTAAACCAATATTTATCTTTTTCCCCTTTTCAGAGTTCTTTAACCCAGACATCAATTACCTCCAGTCTTGTTCCAGTGGCCCACACTTTCTCCCTTCATTTATCATAACAATTACCTTAGTTTATTTTGAAGTTCTTCCCTTTTTACACTGATGGACTGGAAAGAAAAAGGTCGGAGTAGATAGAATAGGGAGCATAGAAATAGACTTCTCTCACACCATGGTTGGTGATTCAGAAGGAGCGGTTGGGTGAAACAAGTGGGAAAGGGTTGACCTAGATATCAGATAATATCTAAATTGTGTCCTCTGATTATGGTGGATTTCAATAGGGAACTTCACTGGAATTATCTCTGCAATAAGTAGCATTAATTCTTCCTCCACAGTTCTAATCACCCGGAGATGAGTGAGAGAGTTGGAAATAGGGGACATGTGCAGTGGGCAGTGCAAAAGGCATAGTTTTTGAGAGTTGCTATCAAGGGACAGGGAAAAGTCAAGAAATATTGCAGAAGAGGAAGGTTTGCTTGAAGATAGACCATTATTTTTCAGCTTTCTGCTTTGCTTTTTGCCTTGGTTCTGAGGTTCAGTGGGAGATTGTGGCTCACCAGCCCTCTTCTTTCTGCAACATTTTAAACATTTTTCCTCTCTCTATTTGATGTGAAATTTCCAGAGATCTCTAAGTAGTTTAATTACCCTTCAGGTACTGCTGACCAAAGAAGACTCTAGTCTCAGGCACATGAGATGCATGCAGATCCATTAGTGGACTGTGCATATGGGGTATCAATGTCTTCCTTCAACAATCCTGGGCAGTCTTCCCATTCACCGTCCCATGGTGTTATTTCCTCAGTGGCTGGTTGGAGAACCCAGGCCTTTCCTCCATTATGGGTTCCAGCTCATGGACACTCCTGCCAGCAGTCTAGGACTGTTCCCTTCGTGATTTTACTTACTGCCTTTCCCTGAGTCCTGTACTACCTTTCCGACCCCCTCCTTCTCTGTGTTTGCCAATCTCTACACACCTAATTTCTCCCAGGGAGTGACTGCAGAGTTTCCCAATAGACCCTTGCTACTACAAATTTCCTGCTTGAATCGCCCCAACTAGCTTCTATGATAAGGGGATGGTTGGATGAAATAACATGATCTTGGTAACTAATTGACCATTCATTATCAGTTGGAAATAGGTCAATGGAGGGATGATAGGAGTTGCTATAGGGAACTTTCTGGGTGTCTGGCTGGTGAGTCTTGCCTACATGCTCAGGGTTTAGCTGATCGCCATATTTGGGGTCGGGAAGGAATTTTCCTCCAGGGTAGATTGGCAGAGGCCCTGGAGGTTTTTCGCCTTCCTCTGTAGCATTGGGCACAGATCACAGCTGAAGGACTCTCTGCATGTTGGGTCCTTCAAAGTATTTGAATGCTTCAATATCTTTGATATAGGTGAGAGGATTATTCTAAGAGGGGTGGTTGAGATTCTGTGGCCTGCACTGTGCAGGGGGTCAGACTAGATGATCATAATGGTCCCTTCTGACCTTAAAGTCTATGAGTCTATGAGCTTCATTCCGCCTCAGCTGGGGTTCCTCAGTTGGGGGATTTCTTAGCTTATCTGTGGCCTGTTGTGGTTATTTGTCTTTATTAACCCTTTCAGGGCAAGTATAATACAAACTCTCCCATATATAGCCTCAATATCATTTATTTCAATGGGAGTTATACACTTCTGAAAATCCCACTAGGCATTTATCTGAAATTAGGAGCCTAAATACTTTTAAAAATCTGACCCACAATGCCCTTTTACTTCTGTGTGTCTGGTTTGTAGGTCCAAATAACCTATCAAGGAAAGAAGGGTGATTTTTACTCTCCTACATGGGCATCTTATCCAAGTTACAATCTAGCTCTAAGAAAACCAAATCACAGGTGAGTAATCAAATGTCAAATACTATGATGACGAGGGCCATGTAAGGACTTAGGTAAAGTGATGGCATAAGGCATTGAACGGTACACAGATAATACAATTTGAGTTTATATTATGAAGTCTGAGATTTGTTTGTTTGGTTGATCTGTATAACCTACTCTTACTTTAGGCTCTTATTTGAAAAATAATAATTGAAGGAAGTGAAACAAAATAGATGGATAAACCTTTTGGCTGCTTCTCTCTAAGTGAAGTGTTCAGCAGCACCATGAAACTTCCTTTAACTATTCCTGGATTTCCACACTGACCTATTTTAGAAGTATATGTTTTGACTATGGAATTAAATAGTTGATATAGCATCCTTTTTTTGAATTCTAACTAATCAAACCTCATTTTCTTGTGCAAATTCTTGACAACAAATTTTACATAAAACTAAAAATACCACTTTGCAAAGGACAGCAGGGCACTAGCACTACTTAAAAGTTGTGGATGTGATGAATCATACACTTGCTTTAATTATTGCACTGATACCCATTCATCCTTATCTCATATATATCTTACTGGTTTTATAACACCATGTGCTAGATTGGTGTTCTGTCCTTCTTTCCTAATGACAGAAAACTAAGGCTTAAAATAAATTAAAACTGAATTACAACCCTAAGCCTATTGCAAGGTTTTATTAGAAGCCCTGAGAATTTTCTTCTCCACTTCCACAAAAGCTTTCAAAATACACCATAAGGAACTATAAATTCTGGTAAATTGTGTTATTAGCCCTTACTGCCCATAGTCCATAGCAGAACTTAGCAGCCAACACTGCAAAGTGCTTTCATCTTCTATAATTACAAATATAGCTCACATTTGATAAAACTTAGGCTTTGCAGATACAATCCCTTATGATGGTATGCATTTACTTAATTGCTTTAATCCCTTGAGGTCAGCCTTTCCTAACCAGAGGAAGTATTATAAGACACCCTGGAGAAGACACAACCCAGATGAGTCAGCCCATTTCCAGTCATTTTTAGTGTGAAAGTGTCATGAGCAACAAAGGCCTCCTATGACACAGAAAGTGCTTCAGTTTGAGAAGGACTCTTCCTTCCCCCTTAAAACATGCCATAGAGTAAACAATAAAGCTGAAATAAAGCTATTCTGGATGCAGTGACAGTGGCTAACTATTGCCCAGTTTCAAACCTTCCATTGCTGATCAAGCTATAGAGAAGCTGGTCACAAGGAGCAACAAGTTTATCTAGAAAGCATTCAATAAGTCTGATTACAGGAGAGAAGAATGTTGGGGTCCAAAGGAATGCGCTAGAACAGTGGTTGGTTCCCAACCTTTGTTATACCATGGACCAAACAAACTCGTTCAAAATCCATCAGCGGACCAGCATGGAAATATTTGCATATTCATTATTATTAATGTATTCACATATTTACATATTCATTATGGTGATTTTAGTCCATGGATTATCAGGCAATCAAAGGAGGGGGGACATGATGGTTAACAAATTTTGAAAAACTACAGCACTTGTCCCTTCTAACTGGGGCACTCACTTTCCACTCCAAGCTTGGCCCCCCGACTGGGGCAGCTGCTTTCGACTCAGAGCTTGGTCGCATTGGCTGGGCCGTGTAATAGGGATGTGAACAACTAGTTGACACACTAGTTGACTAGTTGCTTTCCCCTGCCTTGCTGCCCCTATAAGAAAGAGGCAGCAAGGGGCGGGGGAAGAGGAGGCCCAGGCTGCATGTGGCATTTCAAAGCGGCAGTGCCACGTGGAGCCCAGGATCAGCTGGGAATTTCCCTGCTGACACCAGGCTCCATGAAGTGCTGCCTCTTTGAAATGCCATGGGGAGCACAGGACCAGCACTTTCGCCTTTGGGACTGTTGCTACATTTCAAAGGTAGCGGTGCCCTTATCTACTAATGGAATAGTTGATACAAATTGCATCGACTATTTGATTAGCCCATTAATCTAAAGTAAACATCCCTATCGTGTAGTGATCACTGGAGCTGGAACTGGGGCCACAGTGAGGCTGCCCCATTAGGGACAGCCTCACCATGGTCCCAGCTCCAGCTGCAGCAAACCCACCTACTACCTGCCCCACACACCCTGTTGCTGTGTGCAGATTTGTGCAGGAAGGGAATTCCCTGGGAACCCCGTGGGGTGGATCTAAATAAAGCTGGGGGCGTGGCCAGGCAATGTGCCACAGCCCATCAGACATGGTTTGCGACCCACTGCCAGTCCACGGACAACCGTTTGGGAACCATTACACTAGAATAGCTTAACTAGTTTCTGGAAAGACATTTTCATAGGGTAGTGATAGGAAATAATACATCCCCTTACTTGTAGAGCCCCACAAAGATCAATTCTCTCTCCAATCTTATTATTCAGACACTGATCAGACCTCATGAGCAGGAGAAGCACTCCACCACTGCCATACATGCTTTACTGGTTTCATCTGATTAATCTGTGCTTTCTAACATTCATTCTACATTTGCTACAAAGTTTTGCCCTCAAAATTGGAATTCATTAATGAATTTTGGGTTAGTGACTGAAAATCAAAAACATATTATTGATGGTTGATTGCATTCTTTCACTTTTGCAAAAGCTATACGTATTGTTTCCATTAACATCTTTTATTTCCTTCCTTCCTCTCTAATTTTGCCCTTTTTCTTTCAATATAGTTTTCAGACTCAGCACCATATATATTTTGCACTGTTTAGCTATTGAAAGGAGATTGGAAAATATTAAAATAAGATTAAAGTATAGTAAAAACTATTGGCAATACAGACAGAAGGGGGGGGGAGCCCACTATGTGAAGAGAAGAGATTGTAAAACAGGTTTTGCCTTTGTATTTTCCCATCTGCTTTGCTCAGATTCAGAACAAACAATGGTTTGAGTTTTTTTGGTCAAAGATACTCTTATTTCTGCAGGAAGAGTAACATTTAAAGGGATACTTGGCTAGGAGCCTCCCCAATTCTTTGCTTACTCGAGTTACAGCCTTTCCCGTGAGATCTTGTAAAATCACATTAGATACTTTCACATCTAAACAAACACACACTCTTCCTTTATTCCCTCCCTTCCTTCTATATACACACCCCACATACAAATAACACTGTCTCTGGAATAAGAGCTTAGCCAGGATGAAGAGGAATTGCTTAAGAAGGAGATACCAATGATGATACGCCGAAAAGAATATTTTAACCCTTGGGAGATAACTGGTCTGAAACCTGTTTCTCTTTGAATTAATGAAATGAATTCCTGAGCCTTTCATTAGAAGAAGTGGAAAAGAAAGTAAGTTTTATGTACTTAATACTTCTTCTTGGCTATAGGAATATTAATGCTGGGAACTTTTGCTTTCTTCAGTGATGTATTACCTGCTTAAGAAGCATTCAAGAAGCTAAACAAAATCTTTCATCTAGGTACGTGGTTTGAACAGAACATTAAAATTGTCCAGGAGTTAAAAAAATGTAAATGTTCACTTCTCTGAGAAGTGAAATGAAGTTTCTCACACACTATTGTTAGTATATTCTATTCCTATGGTTTCATGTAGGGGCTAAATAACATTTAAAAGACAGATTATACTGGTCAGTAACATTTTATCTGCTTTGATATTGGGATGCCAGAAATAAGACTATTAAAAATTAAGATTTTTGTAGTTACGTTTTTTTCTTTAAAACAAAAGGGTCTCATAGAATTTGGAATTATTTCACTAAATTAAACTTTAATACCTCATTATTTTATCAGAGCATAAACATGTTTATTTTATTTAAGATCTCTAGATGCTGAGTGTGACTAACCTTTGTATGCTGAGACCAAGAAAAGAATAGATCTTATTTTAAAAGAAAACCACTTTAATTAGAGACTTAATGAGGTCTCTGTTTCTTATTTGAAATCAAAAGAATTCTGTGGGAAACTTGGAAGATGATATTGATTACCATGGTTTTATCTCAACAGGGCAATGACTCCAATGAGAGTTTGTTAGGAGAAAAATTAATTTAAGAATTATGTCACCAAAGGAAAAGTGTATGAAACTAAATATTAGATAGAGATTTGGCTGAGGAAATGATGATAGACTTTTTAAAGACACCCAAATGACAATCAGAGGTCTGTAGTTTTGATCAGTTAGGACACATGAAAATTCCTAAAGATTGAATTTGGGATAAATCTCTGGAAAGATAGTATACAATGAAATAGAAGCAGTACCTAGTACAAAGAGACTATGAATCCTCACAAGTAAACCTGTAGATGTACCCAAGGAGCCCTGTCCATGGTTCTAGAATATATTCTTGACTATAGGAACATTAATGCTGGGAACTTTTGCTTGCTTCAGTGATGTATTACCTGCTTAAAAAGCATTCAAGAAGCTAAACAACCCTTTCATCTGAGTGGTTTGAACAGAACATTAAAATTGTCCAGGAGTTTCATAGATTTAAGCTTGTTTGATAGGTTTAATACTGTTGACTTGTTTTTGAAATTGTATGATTTGAACTGAGCGAGGGAGATAAAATGCTTATATTTATCTTGATTTCTTGTTAGGATAAGCAGAGCAGGCGGAGTTGCAGATCTGTGGCAACCTAAGAACTTTTATTGTCTAGATAACCTTTTCAAATTACTTTAATGCAAAAAAGGACCTCTACAGCTGCATTCTAATTATATAAACTACAGCTTCTTTTTGAGGCTAAATATGTTTAGGCTAGAACTTGCATACAATTTTTTTTAATTTGGATGACAAAAAATTCATCCTTTGTATGATATTCAGTAGTCCATTTACAAGTGCCAAAATTTAATGTTGAGAATATTTGAGACTAAGGTATTGAACTCTTATATGACTAATAATTCTCATGTTTTATTGATTTTTTTTTGTTCTTTTTTGCATTTTTTCTAAGAAAGGTTTAATTTTTGGAAGTAACAATTAAGATTTTTTTGGAAGTTTTTAAACAAACTTCAAAATAGACAATAGAAATATAACCCATTTTTATTTTAAAATGCTAGTAATTTTTGGGCTAG